GGTTCTTGTTCTGGTCTGCACCTTTACAGTATGCAACAGCAGGGGACTTGCCTGTCAACTTACCTGCGATGCTATACCTTCAGCTTCGTCTTCAGCACGTCCGCACGTGCATCAAGGTGACACCTTTCAGCAGGTTGTTGCCTAGCACACGTAAACACACACACACACACACACACACACACGCACACACACACACACACACACACACACACACACACACAGGGTTCTCTCTCTGCACCAGGGAATTCCCCAATCCCGTCTCCTACACTGCCTCCTACCCTCCCATCTACGAGCTTTTTCAACACTGTTCTCTTCACCCTCCTTCTCCCCGCTTGCTTTTATATCTTTGGAATCTTTGACATCCATTCTCCTGGCGTAACATCTCTTCTTATCCCAATGGAAGACAGTACCGCCCAGACCTGCGTTCTCATCTTCCCTTTCTTCCTCCCCAGTCTTCTGATTCCAAAGATTCTGATCAGCGTTATCCTCATCATCATCATCGTCATCACCATGATCACTATCACTATCACCATTTTGTGGTGATTGCACCGATTTCAACGTTTGATTATCACCATCATTATCTCCATCCCCAGTCTTCTGATTCCAAAGATTCTGATCAGCGTTATCCTCATCATCATCATCGTCATCACCATGATCACTATCACTATCACCATTTTGTGGTGATTGCACCGATTTCAACGTTTGATTATCACCATCATTATCTCCATCCCCAGTCTTCTGATTCCAGTGATTCACATCACCATTATCGTCTCCATCATCCCCATTGTCCTCATCATCCCTACTGTCAGCGTCATCATCATTAACGCCATTATCACCCCCTGAACTGTGAATAACATCCCCTCTATTCCTCAGTTCGACATCATTCGCTCTCAATACCTCATCATCACCATTTTGAGCCCTATGGCACTTCCCTATCACACAGACCCATCTTAGTTCACACCCACAGTTCAAGCACTGCACCTTCAACTCCATTGGATTCCGGCCGCCGCTCTTCAAAGTATCCTTAATCTGCCGGAGTTCCTGGTGACTGTTCCGAAGAATCGTTCAAAGCGATGACTGTTCCTCGCTGTCGCGGACTCTCGCATTCTTTCTTGCAGCCACTGCTTCTAGACTAAACGTTAATGGAGGACACTCCTAGCCTCGGTCTTGAAAGTGAGTAGATGAAGGATGGGGGGTGATTAAGCCCTTCAGGGGTAACTGCTGAAAGTACCGGGCCAAGAAGGGCAACTTCCGAAAGTAACGGGCCAGGAAGAGTGTGTGAGGGGGGCTGTGGTAAGCTTGACAGAAAAGAAGGGGGCTGGAAGGGAAGTGGGAGGGTGTAGCAGAATCTATTAAATCGTTCCACTTCCAAGGCACTGTCTCACCGCCAGGCTCGGGCCCACCGTCAAGATGCCCTACTCTCCGCGGCGCTTTCTATGCCTGAAAGGGAAAGTTACAGCTTGTAACGTTCAGAGTATCTCCTTCTTTCCTTTCCGGGGGATGAAGCCTGGTGTTCGACATCCGGTAGAGGAGCTATTGGATTATTCGTTCATCCCCTATAGTTCCATCTTCACATCTCCCATCGTCTATCCGTCAGAACGTGCAGTTAGATAGCATTCTTCTTCACGCTACTGATCCTCTTGTCCTGTTAGGCGCTTTCACACCTATCTTCGAATAACGAACTGAAGAGCTCTACTGGCTCAATCGGCTTGTTTCATGGAACGGACGCTGGAACCAGCGTTCTTCATCTTGTATCTGTTCTCCTTGTTCATGATGGTTCTTCGATGTCTTTACTCTACCAACTCCCCAATCCCGCTCTCTCTCCAACTAACCACAGCCTAGGACAAGCTCGCATCTCTCACGTTCAACCCTGTAGACCGTCCACACTGAGAGATACGCCTCCCCCGTGCTTCGGGGCTCCGGGGTATGGCAGCTGAACCCCGCGGCAGACAACAACCCTAATCAAGGGAGCAGAGCGCTACGGCGCCGGGGTCCCTCTTCGTCCTCACCTCCTCCTTTTCCATCCCTTTTCCTGTTGGGTCCACCCCATATATGAAAAGAAAGGTCAGAAAAAAAAAAAAAAAAAAAAAAAAAAAGATAGGTACCGTGATGACACGGCAGAACGCCAGTTAAAAAAAAGATATGTGAGGTGAGAGAACCATATTATATATGGCTGTCCCCCGGGGCTAGGTCCCACTTGCACGCATTAAGAGATACTGACCGTAGATAGCAACGATCAACGGCCCAAATCTCCTAATTTGCGCAAGTGGGACCTTGCCCCCGATGAGGAGAAGGCAAAAGCAAAAAAAAAAAGAGAAAACTACGGCGCAGTCAGGGATTGAGTTTGTAATTGCACTCGAGGCAAAAGGGCCGGCAAGGCTGAATGTATATGGCCTACGTGTCGGGTCCGGTGGGGTCGCGTGGGGGTGTGTTTTATTCGCGGGATTACCTGAAGTGCAATTACAAACTGTTTTCGTGACTGCGCCGAAGTTACCCCCCCAAAAAAAAATGGAGTGCAGGATCTGTTCCAATCAATTTAGAATCCGTTCCCAAAAACAAAAAAAACAAAAAAAAAAAAACAATTTAGAATCCGATCCTGGTTCGGCGGACCATTAAAAAAATAATAATAATAAATCAGTGAGCGTGAACGACATGAACCGACGCCCGTGCTCGGCCGATAACGCGGGGGAGATATAGCGCAAGCGATGAGCGTCGGAGAACTACCGGTAGCGCAGGAACAGTAGCGCGAGGCCACTAGTGAGGGAATACTTTGAGAGCGGGGAAAACTAGCGCGATGAAAACTTGCGTGGCGGGGCAATTAGTGCGCCAATGCTTCGAGAGCAGGGCAAATTTAGCGCGGGAAAGAAAACTAGCTCGATGAAAATTAGCGCACGAAACCAGTGTCATAGTTGCGTCGTGTCGTACGAGGGAAAGCGTCAGTACCAATACCTTTCTCGGCCTACTGGGTAAGATCAAGTGCACTGTATCTGTTCTGATCGGCCAGTTTAATATCTGATCCCTGCTCCATCCGGCCACATTTATAAATAAATAAATAAGTAAATAAATAAAGAGTCAGTCACTCGGAACAGCGGTTCACGGTTCGCTACAGGCACGATTACCTCCCATTTTTTACCGCAGTGAATCATCTTGCAAGGACACCCATAACGGACGGAATCGTGTGAAGACATGCACAACACAATTCAGCATATTGCATACATGATACACCCGTAAGTCCCGACCGCAAGATACGTTCAGACAGTAACCATTAGCAGTTAACGAAGGCTCGACGGGGAAGACGAAGAAGAGCATCTAAAAAATGACCACAACACCACCCTCCTCCTCCACCTCCATCTACTCGTGCCTGAATCTGAATAAGAAAATCGAACTGACCTATTCGGTTTGATGGTTATCCAATTGAATTTTCGTTTGTCCAAATCTCTTCACCTCGATCCTGACTTACGTGGTCCAAAGAGTCGTTCCAAGATGAGCCATTTTGATCGCACCTCGGCTGAGCGCACCTCGGCTGGGCGCCCCTCGGGTGGGCGCAGCTCGCTCTCCACTGGACTTGAATCTGAGGTCACGTCTTTGGCCCCCTTTACTAGTCTTTTAGTCCCGGGATTGCCGTTGACATCCCGAGCGCGAACACAAAACAGGAACAGCAAAAAAACGACAAGCGCAGCAACCACAGAACCGACGATTTGTCCCACCTTCTTGCCTTTCCTGCGTCTTGCTTCTGTATCAGGATCTGGAGAAGATTGAGGGACAGATGGAGATGCAGGGAAGGAGTCGCTGGGAGACCGACTACTTGGGGGGGGGGGATCGGGCGCTGGCGGCGAGAAAGGGACGGAAGTATTCAATGATAGGCGGAAGATTTGCCCGTCGTCGACTCCCACCGTGAGATTGACAATTTGCCCATCCACCTGGACCGCCAGTCCGGATACTCCGGTCGGCTCGTGCCTGAGGTACTTGGCTATTTCCGTTACTCTCCTCGCTCTGGTGCACGGCGAGTCCATCTCGATCCATAAAATTCGACCGGTCCTCGACTCCGAGGCGAACAGATGGTGCCCGTCGCCCACCACAGCTATGTCGAGCAATTCCCCAAAGGATGCCTGCAAGCCATCCACGTCAGCACTGCTCCTGCTGCTGCTGGTGGCATTAGCTCGCTCTGCGGGGGCGAGACGTGTTGATGACAGCGATCTGCTGCCGGCGACCAGTGTAGCATTCTGCGACGATGGATGGAACGCCCACACCTCACTAGGAGCAGCCCGATCAATGAAGTACAGGCACTTGCCGTCGCTCGTGAAGCTCTGAGGGCCGAAGTAGGGTTTCGAGATGTTGAAGCCCAGATGCGATTCGAATTGCACAGCTTTAGAGAGAGACAGCGTCCGATTGGCAAAGGTGCCGTTGGCATCGAGCGTGACATCGGCAGAGGAGATGGACGTGGGTGGCGTGGTGCTGGCCGACATGAAAAGCGTCGCCATGCCGGGATCCCAGCTCAGCCCCTCCGCAGACTCTATCGGCAACCTCGTGGAAGACTTGGACCCATCTGCGATCCTCAACGCTGTCAGCCATGACGTGCCCGGGTAATCCTGCAGCGAGCCGCAGAGGAGCAGCTCCGATCCCGACTTGGAAAGCACCATGCCGGAAGGGTAATCCATCAGCCGATAGCAATCGTAATCGCGGCAGACTGTGTTATTGGGACGAGGTCCGTCCAACTCCGTTGAACTCCACCAGTAACATATCCTGGGGGCCTCCCCGCCTGCCACGTGGAGATTACCCTGATGGATGGAGACCTGGGATTGCATGGCCGTGCGATTGTCAGTATCACATCTCTCCTCGAAAATGAAGAAGAAGACTCCCGCATCGGGATGGAGCACGATATTGCGCATGAGAGATGAGCACGTCGTATCCGGACTATTCTGAAGTGGGCTGAGAAGAGACTGATGCTTGACTATCACCTTGCAGGTTGGTCGTTCGAGGAGGACGGTCTGGTCGTAGGACCAGGGAGCGCAAGGGTCGTCGGCTGGCTGCTGTAGCACCCTGTCTGTCTCTCTTTCCCTGGAGTGTCCATGGCTGGAGAGTCGTCCAGATCTCGGCGCGTCCACCTGTCCCGTTCCCGACGATGAAGAAGAGTCTGTTGATAGCAGCAAAGGCCACAGCGATGGCGGCGATGGCGGCGAAGACGATGACGCGAATGGGCAATCGTCTGCAACCGGCAACTCCGCAAACCTCCAGAAGAGGCAGAGAGAAACAATCAGCGCCGCTGCTGCTGCGATGGCCGCATAGCACCGCCTTCCTCCACTGCTATGGAACGGACAGACTTCTTGCCGATTGGGACATCGACCTGCTTCCCGCACAAATCTTTGTTGATAATGAGCGCTCGGCATCATGAATGCCATTGAAAACCGAAACCGAAAAGGTAAAGAAAAAGAAACCCACGAAGAACAAGCGGCGGTTATGCCGGGCAGCTGCTTCCTCAAGTTGATACGGCGGCAGCTAACGGTAGGGGTGTACTCTATATAAACTTAAACCACGATTACCTCCGAAGCAGTTTTTGACGGACCTGAATTTCACAGCGCTTCCAAAAAAAAAAAAAAAAAAAAAAATTCACAGCGCACCGAGCTATGCGGAGCCTGGGTCCCGTTGTATTTTCTGTGCTGGTACTCGCACGGCAGCTGCTTCCACGTGAGCACAAGAAAAACAAAAAAGGGGAAACTGTTCCTGAGGGTCTCCCTGCACTACTATCCACTCTCCGCAAATTCGGAGAGTCGCAGGAGAGTTGCTGAACTCTCCGAATTCGCGGTTTTCTGCTCATCGCTGTACTTACTATCCGTGGTCCCACACTCCAGTTTGTGAGAGCACTAGCAGACGAGGGGACAGCACTGGAGTACTTGGCGTCATCTGCATTTTGTCCGCCCTGACTCCAGGCACACTCTCCGAATTCGGAGCATTTTGGAGAGGCCTGCCGAGGTCCATCCGGAAAACCTTCTTTGCAGGCTGGGAACTATCCGCGCCGATAGTTCTTCTTGACGGTGGTATCTGACAGCTATCCGAACATTTGCAAAGGGAGAAATAGGACAGTTAGTGCAGCGATGCCGAACCCTCCTATATCGGAGAGTGGATAGTAGTGCATCGAGACCCTGACTCTTCTCCTTTTTAGTTTGAAATGGCCATGCAAAGACGAAGGGTCTCTCCCCGATACTATCTGCTGTACACAATTTCGTATAGCGGCCGTATAGCTGTCAGAGCTCTAAAAACCGTATAGAACCTAGTGTCGCTCCACTTACTATCCGCTATACGCGTCTCCAATTTTGGAGTTCACTACAAAACACTCTCACAGCACTACAAGACATCAATTTGTCGGCCCAGACTCCAGGCTCTCCATACGATTTTGCAATGCTACGCGGACCTCCTTCGACCACCCTCCGGGAAACGACCTCTCCACGTGAACTATACGGGATCGCATGGTGAATCCGGAGGGCGCCATCTGACATCCATACCGAAGGTGGATTTCGGATAGTAAGTGGAGCGGTGACTTACTATCTGAAATCGTACAGCAGATAGTAGTGGAGCGAGACCCTTTATCAGTTCTGGAAATGGGGCAAAACCCGCCTCCGCTAATCTGCATTCGTGCCACGTCAAAAAAACACAGCCGTCCTTGGGGACATCCGTTAAAATTGGAACGATACAGAGAAGATTAGCAAATGGCCCCTGAACTGACATTTCGTTAAAACTGACATTTTTTTTTAAATTCACGAAATTTAGCGTACCAAAAAACAACATTTTTAGTGTTTTTTTTGTCCCCATGACGTCGGATGATCAGATCATCGAGTGTCACGCAACCCTGTGAGACCAGCCCCTTGGCCTGTTCTCACAGGCCTGTCTTGTATTCGGGGTAGGCCAGTCCAGGCCGGTACCTCTGTCGGTACCAGCCAGTCCACTCCAGTCCCGTCAGTCCGCTGGGGTATACCCCAGCCATTGTCTGTTTTCACTCTCATTCCTCACTTGCACATTTTGGAGTACGTGCGTTGGAGTCTTGCGTGGGGAGCTGCGTT